ATAGACAGATAAGCTTAATTGAGAAGATTGAGTTATATAGTTATAGAGAGAGAGTCTTGACTGCTTTGTCTCCAGAACTAACCTTAAGTTATAGATAGGAAAAAAACCTGCTTTTTTCTAAACCACAACAGCTTAAGGTTAGGGTGTTAAGATTCCAGGATCTTATCTGCCATCTGGAGAAAGGGTTACCTCTGTAACTAAAGAAAAGAAAGAATATTTTTGTAGTTTCATCTATTGACTGTTTGTTTGCAACTTTGATGAACTGTGCCAAGTCTTCAAGGACCTTGAATAAATAAATATCCTTTGATGTTTAAACCAGTAATAGTCTCAGTTGCTGAGTATCTCAAGCTTCTCAATATAGACACCTGCAGTTCGCTCAGGCATAGAGAGAAGCACATTGCAATTTTATTTTTTATATCGTCTGGGCGGACGGCACAGTGTTCAATATTATTATGTGTATTTGTTATTAACATATTTGTTGCATAGTTTCTGCAGGGGAAGTATTCACCTATACAAGTTTATTTTTTAGTTTTCAATAGTTGTGAGTCTACTGTCTCAACCCTTCTGCAAAACACATGTAACATACTTTGAACATGAATAGATAGATTATCATCTGTGGAAGCTGGATTCTGTGTCAATGGGGTGAATCCACTTCACGTTTTATTTTGAATTTTAAAGGAGCTTTCCAAAATGTGTGTGTGTGGTGTGACTCAATGAAAGTAACACGTAGGCATAATGACTGGAAATGATGTAAGAAAAAGGCAATTGTAGCACTATGGGCAGCTGGTTACAAATGACAGGAAGATGGTCCAGAATTCCTGCGCAGAAAATTCGATGTGCTAGGTGTGTTTGCACATGGGTTGTGCATGTTGTATTTGTATTTGTATTTTAGTTGGCAGGAAGAAAATAGCTGTCAGTGGCAATAGCCTCTTTACTAGTTATTTTAAAATTACCTGCCAAATTATAAGATTTTTTGGAGGTTGACAATCACTTACTATGGCTAGCCCAAGGGTCCTCAAACTAAGGACCGGGGGCCAGATACGGCCCTCCAAGTTTCATTTACCCCTAAAATTACCTGCCAAATTATAAGATTTTTTGGAGGTTGACAATCACTTACTATGCCTAGACCAAGGGTCCTCAAACTAAGGACCAAGGGCCAGATACGGCCCTCCAAGGTCATTTACCCGGCCCTCACTCAGAGTCTTTACCTAATAATAATAATTATTATTATTATTATTATTTATTTGATCAGTCATATGACCATTTCAAAATAGATCACAAGTAAAAAAAACAAGGCAACAAGGTGAAGACAGCAGCTGACCTTCTATTTATAGTCAGAATCTTATTTTCCTGGTTCTTCTTTCAGGAAATCTGCTCTTTTCTTAATAGCTTTCAGAATAAAAAAGGCTTACTCTGATTATGCTGGATCTTTCCTGCCCTTGCAAGAGGGATGTCAGAATATCATTTCTGTTGGGGGACCTGCAGTTGGATAATATTGGATGTAAATATCTGTCTCGCAGTTCAGTATATGCTGGACAGTCAATTAAGAAATGTTCAATGTCTTCCACTGTTTGTTCTCCCCAGACGCAGAATCTCTCACTTCTTGGGATGTTACAGTAGCGCCCGGTTTGCACCATAGTACTGAGTTGTTCAAACCTAGCCCTAGTATATATTCTTCTTAAGGGTAGAGGAAGTGGAATAGTTAGGTAGTGCTCTAAATGAATATTCCTTTTGTGGGAAGCTAAAAACCTTGTGGCTGAAGACCTACTTATGCTCTCTAGGTCCAGCTGTGCATAGATATCCCTAATGCGCCGCTTGAGCACTTGTCCTGCCCCCGGACCCAAAACACCCAGAAATTGCAAAGGCAGACCGAATCCAGCCAGCTCATTATTCAGAGCCGCCATCCACGATGACTTCTGGTCATGCTGGACTTGATCCTCTAGACCAGGGTCCTCAAACTAAGGCCCGGGGGCCAGATGCGGCCCTCCAAGGTCATTTACCCGGCCCTCGCTCAGGGTCAACCTAAGTCTGAAATGACTTGAAAGCACACAACAATAACGACAATCCTATCTCATCAGCCAAAAACAGGCCCACACTTCCTATTGAAATACTAATTATTTTATATTTGTTGAAATTGTTCTTCATTTTAATAATTCTATTGTTTTTAAGTGTTTTGTACTACAAATAAGATATGTGCAGTGTGCATAGGAATTCATTCATTTTTTTTCAAATTATAATCTGGCCCTCCAACAGTTTGAGGGACTGTGACCTGGCCCTCTGTTTAAAAAGTTTGAGGACCCCTGGTCTAGATTGAGGGAAGTCATCGTGCCTCTCTGTTCTGCTTTGGTTGCTGGAATATTGTATCCAATTCTGGGCACCACAGTTGAAAAGCGATATTGTCAGGCTGGAAGATGTCCAGAGGAGGGCAACTAAAATGATCAAAGGTCTGGAGACCATGCCTTGTGAGGATCATCTTGAAGAACTGGGTATGTTTAGCCTGCAGAAGAGAAGGTTGAGAGGAGACATGATGGCCATGTATAAATATGTGAAAGGGTGTCATAAGGAAGAGGGAGCAAGTTTGTTTAAAACTAGAACTTGAAGCAAAGGGTTCAAATTGCAGGAAACAAGATTCCACCTGAACATTAGGAAGAACTTCCCGACTGTAAGAGCTGTTCAACAGTGGAACTCTCTGCCTTAGAGTGTGATAAAAACTTCTTCCTTGGAAACTTTTAAACAGAGGATTGATGGACATCTGCCAGGGATACTTTGATTATGCTTTCCCTTCATGGCAGGGAGTTGGACTAGATGGTTCATGTGATTTTTCCCAACTACAGCAAGCAATTGCAGGCCCTAGCCATATTTTATTTTTTTCAACAATATTAACTATTGGAATGATGGGATGACAAACTTGTATGGCTGGAAATGATGGGCAGAATTGCTACAGAAGTGCAAACAAATGAGGTGCTAAGAGCCTGAGGTAGTAGAGTGGATTGTGTCCATTCAGGCACCAGATGAAGAATTTGATGACAGAGATCCCCCATCGGTGAAAAAACACATATGCAGTGGGCCTTAGGTTCTAGACTCTCCATAGATATCAACATCTATGGATGCTCAGGTTGCATTATATACAATAGCATAACAAAATACTATCCCTTATATAAAAAAGCAAAATTAAGTTTTGTCTTTTGGGATTTTTGTGGAGTATTTTCAAGCTGTAGATCAGTGTTTCTCAACCTTACTAATGCCACGACCCCTTGATACAGTTTCTCATGTTGTGGTGACCCCCCAACTATAAAATTATTTTCGTTGCTACTTCAAAACTGTAATTTTCCTACTGTTATGGGTCATCATGTAAATATCAGATATGCAGAATATATTTTCATTCACTGGACCAAATATGGCACAAATACCTGATTCACCCAAATTTGAATACTGGTGAGGTTGCGGGAGGAGGTGTATTGATTTAGTCATTTGGGAGTTGTGGTTGCTGGGATTTATAGTTCACCTACAATCAAAGAGCATTCTGAACTCCACCAATGATGGAATTGAACTAAACTTGACACACAGAACTCCATGACCAACAGAAAATATGAGAAGAGTTTGGTGGACATTGATTATTGAGCACTTTAGTAGAATCAAGATCACTGCACACCGCATTTTTATAATCCTATATTCCTCCTGCCACTTCAGCACTTTTAATCCTGTACCCACTGCTCTGGCCAGCCCAGTTTTTAAAGTGTCCTGATTTTGTTACTGTTGTTGTTTATTTTGCTCACTGTTTTGATTTGCTTTGGTATTGTTGTTGTATTATGTTTTACTGTATTGTGTTTTGAGGCTTCGGCCTATGTGAGCCGCATCGAGTCCTACGGGAGATGCTAGCGGGGTACAAATAAAGTTAATAATAATAATAATAATAATAATATGACCTTGAGTTTTGGAGTTGTAGTTCACCTAAATCCAGAGACCACTGTGGACTCAAACAATGATGGATCTGAACCAAACTTAGTACAGATGCTCAATATTTCCAAATGTGCACACTGGTGGAGTTTGGGAGAAATAGAGTTTGATATTTGGGAGTTGTAGTTACTGGGATTTATAGTTCACCTACAATCAAAGCATTCTGAACTCCACCAATGATGGAATTGAACTAAACTTGACACACAGAACTCCATGACCAACAGAAAATATGAGAAGAGTTTGGTGGACATTGACCTTGAGTTTTGGAATTGTAGTTCACCTAAATCCAGAGACCACTGTGGACTCAAACAATGATGGATCTGAACCAAACTTGGCACAGATACTCAATATTTCCAAATGTGAACACTGGTGGAGTTTGGGAGAAATAGAGCTTGATATTTGGGAGTTGTAGTTGCTGGGATTTATAGTTCACCTACAATCAAAGAGGATTCTGAACCCCACCAACGATAGAATTGGGCTAGACTTCCCACACAAAAACCTCATGACAAACAGAAAATACTGTGTTTTCTGATGGTCTTTGGCGACCCCTCTGACACCCCTTCGCGACCCCTCCAGGGGTCCCGACCCCCAGGTTGAGAATCACTGCTGTAGATGGATATAGAATCTGTGAATATGGAGGACCATTTGTATGGTAAATCAAAGTATGTTCTCCTCCATCCTAACCTCTCTGAGGTGATGTGTGTGACCCAAATCTTGCCCGCCCCCCACTGTAAAGAGCTATGAGAGCTACGGGAAGAGTGGATTACAAATATTTTCTTACATTTTCTAATTATCTACTAATATGTAGGGTTTGTAAAAACAATTATATAAGAGAACACTAAAAATGACACAAACAGTCTTTGATCTGAAGTGTTGTAAAGTGCTTCTTCATTTTGTTGTATGTTTAATGCATTTCCTACCAAACAGTTATAGGTTTCATGCGGTATGCATTTTGGAGGTTCACCCTATCAATACACAAACGTCTCCCATGAATATTTTCACTTTGGTCAAAATGAACCCTTCTGTCCTCCTTGTCTTTACAGCTTTCCCATTATCCTGTGACACTTGGCAGAAAGGGTCCAGGAGCAGAATGCCAAGATGGCACCCCCGCCAATCCCCCCTGGTCCTGACAGCCTGCGCCGATTGACTCGTGAATCCATTGCCGAAATAGAGAAGCGGTTTGCTGAGCAGGAAGCCAAGAAGTTGAAGCCACCAGAGGAGACTCTTGAGGAAGTGGTAGAGCGCAAACCCCGCAGTGACTTGGAGCAAGGGAAAAGTCTCCCCCTCATTTATGGAGACCCTCCACCAGAACTTCTTGGGGTGGCTCTGGAAGAGCTGGACCCATTCTACAGTGATAAGAAAGTAAGTAGGAGGTGCTGGGTTGGAAGAGGTAACGAACAAACTGCACCAAGAGTTACTGTATATATTATAAGCCTAGTTTTTCAGCCCTTTTTTAGGCTGAAAATGTCTCCCTTGGCTTATACTCGAGTAAAGGTTATTTATTATTTTACTCTGTTGTTGTTGTTGTTGTTGTTATTATTATTATTACATATAGTATTTTACTTTATTATTGTTGTTATCTATCTATCTATCTATCTATCTATCTATCTATCTATCTATATCTATCTATCTATCTATCTATATCTATCTATCTATCTATCTATCTATCTATCTATCTATCTATCTATCTATCTATCTATAAATGCTCTGTGCATAATGAGTTCCTTAAAAACAAAAGAACCAATGAATGAAATCACACCAAATTTGGCAACAAAACGTCTCACAACACAAGGAGTGACCATCACTCAAAAAATTATGATTTTGTTATTTGGGAGTTGTAGTTGTTGGGATTTATAGTTCACCTACAATCAAAAAGCATTCTGAACTCCATCAACGATGGAATTGAACCAAACTTGGCACACAGAACTCCCACGACCAACAGAAAACACTAGAAGGGTTTGGTGAGCATTGACCTTGAGTTTGGGAGTTGCAGTTCACCTACATCTAGAGAGCACTGTGGACTCAAACAATGATGGATCTGGACCAAATTTGGCACAAGCACTCAATACGCCCAAATATGAACACAGATGGAGTTGGGGGGAAATAGACCTTGACATTTGGGAGTTGTAGTCACTGGGATTCACAGTTCACCTACAATCTAAGAGCATTCTGAACCCCACGAACTACAGAATCAGGCAAACTTCCCACACAGAACCCCCATGACCAACAGAAAATACTTAAGGCTATCCAGTCCTACTCCCTTCACCAGGGCTAGAAAACGTAATCAAAGTCCTCCTGACAAAGAGCCATCCAGCCATAGATATAGAGAGATAGAGAGATAGAGAGATAGAGAGATAGAGAGATAGATAGATAGATAGATAGATAGATAGATAGATAGATAGATAGATAGATAGATAGATAGATATAGATAGATAGATAGATAGATATAACACACACACACAAATATAGTATCATAGATTTGAAAGGGACCCCTAAAGAAGGACAATGATATGTTGCATGTTCCAGGGCAAACCAGACACTCTCCACATCAACACTGACAAAGAAACAGCAAGAAATACTGTTTACCCACAAGCAGAAAGAAATTACATATATTAGAAACCAACACTTTCTCATTACTTTATTTTCCAGATCAACAGACTGGGCCACAGCAACGCGTGGCAGGGGACAGCTAGTATTATATTTTACTCTATTATTACTGTTATTATTACATTTCCATTATTTTGCTCTATCATTATTATTACATTTATTATTTTACTTTATTATTATTGTTATTGCATTTATTATTTTACTTTATTAATACAGTTATTATTTTATTTCCATTATTTTGGTCTATTATTATTATGACATTTATTATTTTACTCTTTATTAGTATTGGAAGGCTACGTAAGCATATTTACATTGAAGAAGGTTAGAATAATGGTTTAATCAGAGTTGGGCAGTCATATCTTAAATTACTGTTTTATGTAAATATTCAAAAACATTTAATCTTCTGATGCCATAATTAATATCATTTTATTGGTATCTATTTTTATTTTGCAATGTATCAGTAGCTGCTGCATTTCCCACCCTTGGCCTATACTCCAGTCAATATGTTTTCCCAGATTTTTGTGGTCAAATTAGGTGCCTCGACTTATATACTTAAGTATATACGGTATGTTGCCATTATAGTAAAGAGATATGGATGACTCTTGCAGTCTCCTCCATTTCTATGATTTTGTGAACACTGATAACATGAATCCAATGGAACCAAGGGAACAAAACACAAGCTAAGATGGTGATGGTGGTGGTGATAGTATATGTGTATTAATGGGAGGGAGCTTATTAAGTACTGTACAACCTACAATGCAAAAGCATGTGGACCGTATCCCATGTGGAGGTATAGTCATGTAATCATGGTGTTTAGCCCTATTGCATTACAAATCATTATAAATAAATAATAACTTTATTTGTGAGGAGCCCCCGGTGGCGCAGTGGGTTAAAGCGCTGAGCTGCTGAGCTTGTTTACCGAAAGGTCGCAGGTTCGAATCTGGGGAGCAGTGTGAGCTTCCGCTGTCAGCCCCAGCTTCTGCCAACCTAGCAGTTCGAAAACATGCAAATGTGAGTAGATCAATAGGTACCGCTCTGCAGCGGGAAGGTAACAGCACTCCATACAGTCATGCTGGCCACATGACCTTGGAGGTGTCTACGGACAACGCCGGTTCTTAGACTTAGAAATGGAGATGAGCACCACACCCCAGAGTCGGACGTGACTAGACTTAATGTCAGGGGAAAACCTTTACCTTTTACCTAGCTTTATTTGTACCTTGCTACCATCTCCCCGAAGGTACTTGGGGTGGCTAACATGGAGCCAAGCCCAAGCAATTACAATAGGGCAAAATAAAAATAAAATAAATACAAAAACAGACGATAGCATCAAGTAAAAATGCTAAACAATGACATGGTAATACAATAAAATAGCGACAATAACATAATAAAATAGAATATAAAATGGTACAAGGATTAACGAAGGCGAGCTGGGCTAAATGGGAAAGGTGAAAACTGTAAAATACGTGGGTGACATAGGTAGATAAAGTGTTGTGTCTAGTGAGAGACTCGGGTGGGATAAACAATGAGGTTAATCTGCACTGAGAGATGAGATATAGTGCATCAAAAAAAGAAATTGACACTGGGACGGGACTTGGTATGGGAATTCACTATTTATTCTTCAAAGCACACCGGAAAACTTTTAAACTTTTCCTAAAGGCTGTCAGGGTGGGTGCTTGCCTAATCTCCCTAGGGAGTGAGTTCCAGAGCCAAGGGGCCACCACGGAGAAGGCCCTCTCCCTTGTCCCCAAAAGCCATGTTCGTGACAGAGATGGGAGCAAGAGGAGGGCCTTCCACGAAGATCAAAAGAATCCCACAGGTTCATAGAAGGAAATGCGATCACGAAGGTAGGCAGGCCCCAAACCATTCAGGGCTTTGTAGGTGATAACCTGCACCTTGAGTTGGGAACGGAAAATGAACAACCAATTATGTTCTGTTTTTTCATTGCTTATCCCATGTTGTCTGAATTTTCTGTTTTTTCCATTACTAATCATTTTCATCCTTATCCCACAAGCAAGTGGATGCTCCATGGTCCATTTTAACAAGCGGTTTTGTTCTTTCTTTCTTTTCCCCCCCTCAGACGTACATCCTCCTCAGCAAAGGAAGGACCATTTTCCGGTTCAGTACCACCAAAGCTCTCTATATTTTGGATCCTTTCAACATTGTCCGGAGGGGTGCCATCCAAGTGCTTATACATTCATATCCTTCACACTGCTTGAATTGCCTGTGTTGTGTTCGGTTCTACAGATGGAATTGTGGGGATTTTCCGTTGAGGGTTCTGCAAGACAAAATAAGGGAAAGTAGTTCAATGTTTTGATATATGTCATTCAGGAACAGTTTGGGTTTACATGACCCAGAGAACCTAATTGTTTTGGGGTTTTTTTCACTATTGTGAGTGAGTGGGACACAACCTTACTATCTCCATCATTATAACTGCCCTGTTCCTTACAGTTTATGGAAATCACTGGATCCCACACTGTCTTCAGCTAAATAAAAACCCCAAATAGTTGAAAGTCCAAAAGGGGCTGCTGAAGGTCTTCCTCTTCTCAGAACTGGGATGCAGAGAAACCAAGGTGACAAATAATAAGATTAACACTTACTTGAAATTCTAAATTAGATTGAGTCACCTTGCAGAGGAGCAAAGTTCCGAGTTCTCCTCTATCTAAAGTTGATTAAGTACTACATATACTCATATATAACTTTGTTCTCCTTGAATCTACATTTTCTTCTGAAATTTCACACACCATTAGTAGGCTTGTGCATTCGGGGTAAACCTTGACCCATTTTGTGTCCTGGCTTTCGGTGGAGGCCCTGATCCATTTCTGTGGGCCTCCCAAAATCAGGAGAGCAGATACCGGTTTTCACTCTGGCATGCTGAAAGATCTGTTTTCTATCAGCCCATTATGGGAGTTGGGGTGGCTTCCTAGGCTCCCCTTCCCATCATTTTAGGCATTAAAGCCTGGCCGCTAGGGCTGGGCAACCACGGAAAAATTTGTTTCTAAACTCGATTTGTTTTTTGGGGTTTTTTGCGTTTCGATTTTTAAAAGAATTCCGAAATTTTCCTTTAAAAAAGTTCGATATTTACGAAATTTCGGAAATTACGAAACAATTACGAAACAATAACGAATCGATTCATTAATGGCGGACGCGACCGCGCAATACGCTAAAAAACCTCCAAATGGGACAGGAGGAACTTCTGAAACTTCCCTCTCCCTCTGTTGTTGACTGTTGGTGTGATATTTATAATTTTTTTTCACTTATTAAACAAACAACAACTGTAAAACTTGCCCCAGACATGCGGAAATAATAACGAAACGATTTCGAAACGATAACGAAACGAATTGAAAAATTCGTTTTGATTTTTAGTTGCTCCTAAATGGTTCGTTATCGCTTCGTTATAAAAAAATAACGAATTTTTAACGAATTACGAAATTACGAAACGAAACCGCCCAGCCCTACTGGCCGCTACTCTCTGAACAAACTGCAATTTCCAGACACTCTTCGATATATGTAGAGCATGTTGTAATAGTCAAATCTGGATGCAACCAATGCCTACATCACTGAGGCCAGGTCCGGAGTTTCCAAGAATGGGCAAAGTTGGTGCACAAGCTTTAGTTGTGTGAAGACTGACCTAGTCAGCATCACCACCTGGGCTTCTAGGTTTAAAGCGGAGTCTAGGATGACCCCTAAACTGTGCACCTGAAATTTCAGGGGGAGTGCAACCCCATCCATCTCAGGTTGAAATGCCATTCCCAAATTCCTTCTCCGAGACATCAGTAGTACCCCCGTCTTGTCTGGATTAAATTTCAACTTGTTCACCCTCATCCAGTCCATAACTGCATTCAGACCACAGTTTAAGGGCAGGACTGCTTCCTTGGCGTCAGGTGAAAAGGAGTTGTAGAGTTGGGCATCATCCGCATACAGATGATACCAAACTCCAAAACGCCGGATGACCCCTCCCAGAAGTTTCAGGTAGATGTTAAATAACATTGGGGATAAAGATGAGCCCTGTGGGACCCCACAGCCCACCGGCTGTTGAGCAGGACTCCCCCAAAACCACCTTTGGGAACCAGTCCACAAGGAAGGACTGGAACCATTGTAGCACAGTGCCTCCTAGCCCCACCCCCTGAGTCTTCCCAGAAGGATACCATGATCTATGGCAGGGGTCCTCAAACTTTTTAAACAGAGGGCCAGGTCACAGTCCCTCAAACTGTTGGAGGGCTGGATTATAATTTGGGAAAAAAAACATGAATTAATTCCTATGCACACTGCACATATCTTATTTGAAGTGCAAAAAAACCCCACTTAAAAATAATACAATAATTAAAATGAAGAATAATTTTAACAAATAAAAAATTATTAGTATTTCAATGGGAAGTGTGGGCCTGCTTTTGGCTGATGAGATAGGATTGTTGTTGTTGTTGTGTGCTTTCAAGTCGTTTCAGACTTATGTTGACGCTGAGCGAGGGCCAGGTAAATGACCTTGGAGGGCCGTATCTGGCCCCCGGGCCTTAGTTTGAGGACCCCTGATCTATGGTATCGAAAGCCATGGAGAGGTCCAGGATAGTTAACAGGGTCACACTCCCCCTGTCAATCTCTTGGTGTAGATCATTCACCAAGGTGACTAAAGCTGTTTCTGCTCCATGACCCAGTCTGAAACCAGATTGGAAAGCATTGAGCTGCAAAGACATTTCAAGCATGCCCAAAAGGTTGCCAATAAGGGGTTTTTTGTTTATGTTTTGCTTTTGGTTTTTGCACAGCAGGTGGGCATTCAACATCTCAAAGGTTTTTGAAAAAATCCTCAGTTTTTAAAAATGAACCTTATAAGAAGTGGAGAGCATAAATTGTGAGGTCCAACTTGAGTTGTCAAGTGAGTTCATCTTGTGAATTTTGTCAACAGAGGCTTGATGTGTTTCCTTGACATTGATTTCAAATTATTCAGCATGTTTATCATGATAACCATCTTAACCAACTGTGTCTTCATGGCCATGAGTAACCCACCGGCATGGGCAAAGAATGTGGAGTAAGTGTTTACATGCTTCTTCCTCTTTCCCCCTTTCAACCTTCTCACCCTTTCACCAGTTTCCCTCTTTCATCAGTCTCCTTGCTTTCACCCTTCTACAATTTTTGCTCTACTCCCTCTTTTGGTCTTCTCCTTCTTTCACCCTTCTCCCCCTTTCACCCTTCTCCATCTTTCATCAATCTCCCTCCTGCTTTTCTCTTTGTGCCGCTGCACCTGGGGTCTATAGATCTTACTGAAAGAAACATGGGCGTGATATCTCTTCCCAGGGGATGGCTTCTTGCCCTCCTTTAGGAAACTGGAACTCCCAAGGACCAAGACACAACAGATAACTCGAAATGATCTTTGTTGTTCAAAATGAGTTATCTTTCTTAGGCATAAACTTGATGTTTCAACAAGGATAAAGAAAATATACGTTACAGTCTCTGAAATCTTGGGTCCAAGGAGTTTGCAGCTGAGAAGCTTTCCAAGTTCCCTCTTTCTCAATGGCTGTGAATGCCTGATCATCCACAACCCCAGTCCAAATGGCCTATATTTGAAGGCACAAAGTCTTCCTCTGGTGCCAAAGGACTGGTTTGAAGGCGCTTGAGACTCCTCAACATCGTCCAGGAAGATCTGGGCATGTGAGTGTGAGTCTCAAGGGTAAAAACCTGATAATTGGTGATGAGAGATAGCTTAAAACAAGGGCTTTACAGCCAAGTCTTTCTCACGTCTGTCTATAAAGCTGTCTGATAGTAGAATGAAGAAGCACTGCCCTCCTCTTCTAGGAAGAGGTGGGGCCAAACAATTGAGCTGAGGGAGCAATTCAACTGGTGCAAACAACATTGATTGACAGCTATAAATAACCAATCAATCCAACTATACATTTACAGAGAAAACAGACAAGCTGGGGCATGTTATACAGTTTAAACCTTTGCAAATTAAAGTTCTACATATAGGTGGCGTCACTCGCGCCATCACACTCTTCCACTTTTCTCGTCTTTCCAGTCATTAAATCTCAGGGTGGGAAGATTAAGGGACTGGAAGGAGTTAGGACAGGTAATTTCAATTCAAAGGGGTAAATGAATGATCAAGTGAAAAATCTTGTGTAATATGAAAGCCCACAATAGCTGTAATCACTTTGACTTTACTAGCATGTGAAGCTGTTGTTGTGGAAACAGATTCACAGTACAACAATATCATGGTTACCTAGATAGCATAACATGAAGATGAAAAAGCATTTTCATTTTTGCCACTGCCCATATGGTTGTGGTTGTTGTTATTATTATTAGATATCCAAGATTAGTACACAGCAATCAAGATCACTATGCTGGTTATTATTATTATTATTATTATTATTATTATTATTATTATTATTATTTTACTGACACAAAAACTCAGTATGTCACAGCAAACGAGATCTCTATGCTGTATTTCGTATCACAAAATCACAAGTCGAACACTTCCCAAGCATCTAGGACTGTGTGATGTATTTTCGAATGATGCACGCAGACCCAAGTAAGGTGGCTTTTTGCAGTTGACAGATCATGATTTTGTGTATGTTTATTGTTTCGAAATGCCGGCTGAGATCTTTTGGCACGGCACCCAGTGTGCTGATGACCACTGGGACCACCTGTACTGGTTTATGCCAGAGCCTTTGTAGTTCGATTTTGAGGTCCTGATAACAGCTGAGTTTTTCCTGTTGTTTTTCCTCAATGTGACTGTCACCTGGTATGACAATATCAATAATTCAAACCTTTTTCGTTATTATTATTATTATTATTATTATTTACTCACCTCTTCTTACGGCTTGAGGCAAGGCACAACATAGTTAAAATACATCATCATAATAAAAAACACATAAAATGCACATATTAAAATACAGGGAACAAAATACAATAGACATAGAATGTGAATTAAAATCATAGTTAAAAATGGACTGGAAGAGATAGGTCTTCAGTTAGATCTTAAATTCTGACAGCTGAATTAGCTGTCAAATCTCTTTTGGCAGATCATCCATATATTTGCAAGCATACCCAACAATCAGTTATTCAGTAAGAGGGGAATGGCCCAGTTATCAGTTATCTTAAGTCACTTTCACAGAAAGCAATGGTGGTCTTGGGAAATTAATCACTTCATCATACTAGAGAAAAAAATCCACTTAAAATCCAGTTTCTGCCTCCTGCAGAATTCTGGGGTTTGTAGTTTAGTGATTGGGCTACACTGCCTTTGGCATTGAGCTTCTTGACCAATAGAGCCCATTCTTATTTTTTTTCTCACCTTCTTTTGTTTCAGAAGAGGATTCACAAAATATCTGTTTATTAATCACCTTACTATTTTTTTTAAAAAAAAAATATACAGATTTATCTCACAGTAAAACAAGCTATTATAAAACCGCTGTTGAAAAAACCATCACTGGACCCCACTAAATTTGACAACTTTCGGCCTGTTTCCAATCTTCCCTTTTTGGGCAAAGTCATGGAAAGCGTGGTGGCCTCACAACTCCAGGTATTCTTGAGAGACACGGATTATCTGGATCCGGCACAGTCTGGTTTCAGACCGGGACATGGAACTGAGACGGTCTTGGTCGCCTTAGTGGATGAGCTGCGCCGGGAGCTAGACAGGGGGAGTGTGTCCCTGTTGGTGCTCCTGGACCTCTCAGCGGCCTTCGATACCGTCGACCACGGTATCCTTCTGGGGCGTCTTGCGGAAATGGGCCTCGGGGGCACTGTTCTGCAGTGGCTCCGGTCATTTCTGGAGGGCCGCACCCAGAAGGTGTTATTGGGGAACACCTGTTCAACGCCACAGCCTTTGACTTGTGGGGTTCCACAGGGCTCTATACTGTCCCCCATGCTGTTTAATATCTACATGAAGCCGCTGGGTGAGATCATCCGGAGTTTCGGGGTGCGGTGCCATCTGTACGCAGATGATGTCCAACTCTGTCACTCCTTTCCACCTGCTACTAAGGAGGCTGTCGAGGTCCTGAACCGGTGCCTGGCCGCTGTAATGGTCTGGATGAGGGCGAACAAATTGAAATTAAATCCAGACAAGACAGAGGTACTCCTGGTCAGTCGCAAGGCCGAACAGGGTATAGGGTTACAGCCTGTGCTGGATGGGGTCGCACTCCCCTTGAAGGCGCAGGTTCGCAGCTTGGGTGTGATCCTGGCTTCATCGTTGAGCCTGGATCCCCAGGTTTCAGCGGTGACCAGGGGAGCATTTGCACAGCTCAGGCTCGTGCGCCAGCTGCGCCCGTACCTCGGGAAGTCTGACTTGGCCACGGTAGTACACGCGCTGGTCACATCCCGCCTTGACTACTGCAACGCTCTCTACGTGGGGCTGCCCTTGAAGACGGCCCGGAAGCTCCAGCTAGTCCAGCGCGCGGCAGCCATGTTACTAACAGGAGCGGGACGCAGGGAGCACACAACGCCCTTGTTGTTCCAGCTCCACTGGCTGCCGATCTGCTACCGGGCCCAATTCAAGGTGCTGGTGTTGGCCTACAAAGCCCTAAACGGTTCCGGCCCAAAATACCTGTCTGACCGCATCTCGGCCTATGAGCCCACGAGGACTTTGAGGTCGTCCAGGGAGGTCCTTCTCTCGATCCCGCCTGCCTCACAGGCACGCCTGGCGGGGACGAGGGATAGGGCCTTCTCGGTGGTGGCCCCCCGGCTGTGGAACACCCTCCCTGTAGACATCAGACAGGCGCCCTCCCTTATGACATTCCGCAAGAGACTAAAGACGTGGTTGTTTGAGGAGGCGTTTGACTAAGTGCTACAACAATTGGCAATGATGATTGGAACGGAATATGGGAAACGAGATTGGATTGTGATTCTGATGAGACGTCGCGAATGATTTAGTGTAATTGTATTATTGATTGTGATGTTGTTACTGCTGTTTATGCTATTGCCTTTATTGTAAATTGTTTTTTATATGTTGTACACCGCCGTGAGTCGCCCTAGGGCTGAGAACGGCGGTCTACAAGTGTCGTAAATAAATAAATAAATAAATAAATAAATAAATAAAATAGAGGTTTTTCAGTAATATTGTGAATTTATTTATTTATTTGGGACATTTATATCCCGTCCGATCTCGATCTCCACAGAGGGACTCAGGACGGCTTACAACAACATAGATATACATATTAAATAAAAACAGTATAAAACATCATAAAAACATTAAAACAATCGGCAATGTAAGTCGTTGTCTTAAGAACCGTGCATCAGAGTCCATTAAAACCAGGATTGTGGTGCAGCTGGCTGAGTGTCAGCTGCATTAAGATCACTCTGACCAAAAGGTCATGAGTTCGAAGCCAGCCCGGGTTGGAGTGGGTTTCCAACCAATTGTGTGTAGCCTGTTGTCGACCTTTGCAACCCGAAAGACAGTTGCATCTGTCAAGTAGGAAAATTAGGTACCACCTTAAAAGTGTGGGGAGGCTAAATTAACTGATTTATGAGGCCATAAAGAAGACTCCAGCAAAGCATTCCAGCGGGGAAGCATGCGGGGAATGCGGAAGTGCTTCATCAGCGTCGCAGATGGACAATGAAAGCGACAGCTCCCCTGGCGGCCAGAAAAAGTTAAATAGCCTCTGTGTATGTCTGTATATGTTTGTATGTCAAAAATTGGCATTGAATGTTTGCCATATATGTGTACACTGTAATCCGCCCTGAGTCCCCTGCGGGGTGAGAAGGGCGGAATAGAAAAGCTGTAAATAAATAAATAAATAAATAAAACCATAGCTTTGCCATCAAAACCATCTAGTCCACAAAGGCCTGATCCTACAGCCAGGATTTCACTTTTTTCAGAAAATTAGGAGGGATGGAGCGGATCTGAATTCAAATCTACTTGCCCAGTTGACTATTGTATGCAAGGACAAATGCCTTAAGGGATTTCAGAAACTCAAGCTGTAAACTATAAAAGTGTAGTGTTTTTGTTTTTGAACCAATAATTCATAGAATCATAGAATCAAAGAGTTGGAAGAGACCTCATGGGCCATCCAGTCCAACCCCCTGCCAAGAAGCAGGAATATTGCATTCAAATCACCCCTGACAGATGGCCATCCAGCCTCTGTTTAAAAGCTTCCAAAGAAGGAGCCTCCACCACACTCCTGGGCAGAGAGTTCCACTGCTGAACGGCTCTCACAGTCAGGAAGTTCTTCCTCATGTTCAGATGGAATCTCCTTTCTTGTAGTTTGAAGCCATTGTTCCCTCCTAGTCTCCAGGGAAGCAGAAAACAAGCTTGCTCCCTCCTCCCTGTGGCTTCCTCTCACATATTTATACATGGCTATCATATCCCTCTCAGCCTTCTCTTCTTCAGGCTAAACATGCCCAGCTCCTTAAGCCGCTCCTCATAGGGCTTGTTCTCCAGACCCTTGATCATTTTAGTCGCTCTCCTCTGGACACACATTCCAGCTTGTCAATATCTCTCTTGAATTGTGGTGCCCAGAATTGGACACAATATTCCAGGTGTGGTCTAACCAGAGCAGAATAGAGGGGTAGCATTACTTCCCTAGATCTAGACACTATGCTCCTATTGATGCATCTTTTGTTGTTCTGCAATTAACTGTTTTCTTGGCCCTCTCATTCTTTGCTGTTCACAGATACACCTTTACTGGCATTTATACCTTCGAGTCTATGATCAAGATACTTGCCCGGGGTTTCTGCATCGACAGCTTTACATTCCTGCGAGATCCATGGAACTGGTTGGATTTCAGTGTCATCGTTATGGCGTACGTTACGTTTAACAGGAGCGTTGTGGGAAGCGATAGGTAGAAAACTAAAGGATGTTGGCAGTAAAAAGAAGTGATTCCAAGGTCATGTGTCACTGGGTACATCAGAATTGGGAAAATTTCAGTGTTTCCATTCTAAAAATAATGTGGGGTGGGAGATGGCAACAAAGAAGAAGAAATAGGTGATTTTGACAGATCCCTTTTCAAACCAAGTTCAACCTTTATGCCTCTAAACAGAAATTATTAGAGAGCCCACATGTATATCCTGATATGTTTTCCCTATATAACAGCAGTCAGTTGAACTCAAGTACCCAAAACAAGGGCACATTTACACTGACACTATAATGCAGCTTGGAATTAGTTTTGCTGCATAGGTTAGGGACTGACCGGCTTGGAACTACTTTGAAGTCATGAAGGTGATTACTTTTTTTCATTTCTGGAAAAGATGTGTACCAGTGCTCCAGAAACATAGGAAGTAGAAAAAAAATAGGGAAGATGACAGTTATGAGAAGAGGAAATGAATTACACCTTGCAGGGGATCAGTTTTCCTAGTAGGCACAGATAGAGACACGTCGGATTACTCGTTACTCGTAATAATTTCATGGAGGTTACCATTTTGAAGTGATTAAGAAGCATTTTAAAAACCCGGAAGTCCCTTTGCCCTTCAGAAGCTTTCTCCGCCATTTTTTGTTACGACTCAGGAAGTGAGTTGGAAATTTTAAGCCCTCTAGCTGCTGGGAGGATGGGTGGCTCCTTGCCTCCCCTCCCAACCAATCAGGGGACATGTTTTGGGGAGGTGAGGGGTTTCAGCTCTGGCAGCCATTGCTGTAGGAGCACATGGCTCAGAGGCTCTTTTGGAGCCAGGAAGGGAAGGGAGAAGGGAGAAGGGGAAAGGGGGAAGGGAAAGAGAAAGACATAGACTAAGGGAAGGGAGGTTGGAAGAAGAGCACAGTGGGCAAGCGAGCAAGCAGAAAGGAAGAAGGGCTGGGAGAAGGGCTGTTGGCAGCCATGCTTGGCTGCGTGCCTGGTTGGCTGGTTGGGCAGTGGGCACAGCCTGCCTTGCTGCTTGTGTGTTGTTGCTGTTGGGGTTTGGGTCAGGTGGGCACCGCGAGGGTAGTGTGTGTGTGGGTGAGTGGTGTGGGTGGGAGCAACATGGAGGAAACAAAGCATTTACTCCAACATTTTAAAAAGCGAACGTTGTAGCTGGTCTCTCTGGCCTCACTGTTTTTTAGTTTGTGTTGTCTTCTAAGTAACTGTTTTCTTACCATCTCTTTTGTAGTTATCTTACGGAGTTCGTAGATTTGGGCAATGTCTCTGCTCTGCGGACGTTCCGTGTTCTCAGAGCACTTAAAACCATTACTGTCATTCCAGGTGAGTAATGGGGAAGGGGATTTTTTTTTTGTCGTGTTATACAACAGAATATTGTCCCCTGGTAACTTTTTTTCCGTGTCAGGAGTGACTTAAGAAACTACAAGTCGCTTCTGGTGTGAGAAAATTGGCTGTCTCAAGGACGTTGCCCAGGGGGACGTCTGGATATTTTGATGTTTTACCATCCTTGTGGGAGGCTTCTCTCATATCCCCGCATGAGGAGCTGGAGTTGACAGAGGGAGCTCATCCGCACTCTCCCCGGATTCAGTCCTCCTGTTGGCAGGAGGGGTTTAACCCACTGCGCCACCAGGGCCACTGGGGGAAGGGGATAGGAGTATATGAGGGGTAGAGACATCGACAGACATTCTTTTAGTGACATGCACAGATGTAGCTTATGTAACCTACATGGAGTGAAAGTTGTGGACAACAGGCAACGGCCATACCCCTGTTGACAGAGGTATAAGTGGAGTTATGCATGTGAGAGCACGTAAAAGTTTCCAAAGTACCATATGGGTTTACAGAGTAGCACTGACTACCATAGCAGCAAAGTTTACAGATAAGTATTCCACTTCGTAGTTTCACAACAGGATACTGATCTAGAGCTGGAATTTAGGGGTCTTTGCCAGGAGGCAGAGACCAATTAGACTCATCAAAGAGTTCTTTTTCCCTGGCGAGACAGAGAAGCACCCATATTTTTCCCTGATTTCCCAATGAAAGGTCTCACCAAGTTGAAGAAAAGCCATTGAGGTTTTATTTGCGATTCAGCTGAAAAGGATGCAGAGCTGCAATCATTCGCCAGCAGAGCATGAGGAGAATACACCAATACAGTCATATTTATAGTAAATTCAAAGTTACAGAGTTCAAACTTCCCGCCCCGGTCTCCCTGCTGCCCTCCACCGTGATTGGACGATGGGCAAACAGCTGGGAGGCAGCCCTCCCGCCCCTGGCGCCTCTGGACCAATCAGGAAGCTCCAGTGGTCCGTAGGATCCAATGGGGAGACCTCTGCCACCTGGCGGTGACAGCAAATCAGGAGAGAGGGAGGCGGGACAATAGAACACAAAGGAATCTGTGAATTAGTTTTGAAAAAAATAATGCCATGTGGCTTGCGAGACAAAAAGGAAGTCTCAAGCAGGGCTGATCTATTGTGTTCATGAGTGTTGTAAATCAGCATGTGTAAGAATATCCATATCCTTCCTGGCTGTGAGACAGGAGAACAATGAGGGCAGCCTGGGGTTAATGCTATCAATGGGAAGTAAGCAAAAAGTAGGGGGAAAGATTTCCCCTAATCTTACTTGAAGAGTGATAGAAACTTTGCCAAACAATTCTTTACTCTAGTGGGCCATCTCCAATGCTAGAGATAAGAATCCTTTCCTATTATCCATGCAAGAGTGTCTTTGGCTGGGGGGTTTCTGTAATCGCTAATGGCTTTTGTTCCTGAAGGCCAGGCGATTCCCTTACATATTTCTTTGGAGGGAGAAGGGGGCAAAGGGTCAGGCTAGGGCCAGGAATACAAGGAAACATAAAAAAACATATAGAAATTATACACAGGGAAATCATATGCAGGTATCTTCCCATCCAGGACCCCAGAGAGAAATTAATGATACCAATTATAAAAAGCAGACGATATCAGGACACAGCATGAATTCATAAGTTGTCTTGAAGAAAGTTCATGGGTAGAGAGTGAGTCCTTGAAGAGAGTGAAGTCCAGGAATGTAGCAGAAATAAAAAAGCCACCAAAAGGAGTCTATGGAGTTCCACTGGGCCAAAACACAAAGCCCTGAAGCGCTGGGATGGAAGTCGGTCCCATGGTCCTTGGAAAACTGTAACTCTTTCCATTGGCTGGAGCCCAGGGACCAATCTACTCCCTGAAAGCCTCATGGGGTCCTTGCTGTTGTTAGTGTCTCTGCATATTGACCAAGACTCAACCCCTATTGTGCATTCTGGTGCCCTTGCCCTTTGCAGAACTATAAGTTACTATCTCTTATTGGGGGGGGGGCATGCTTGGCTTTAATACCAATCATGTGCATTGAATGTTTATTTACTTTGTTATACTACACTGTTTTCCAATGTTCCTGCTATCAAATTGACTTTGACTTATGGTGACCCTATGAATAAATGACCAAGTCACTCTATCATCACCAGCTTGAGTCTTGAAGACTCAGGGCCATGGCTACCATGATTGAGTCTATCCATCTGAAATGTGTTTTTTCTTTTCCTATTGCCTTCTACCTTCACAACAGATCTTTGGAAACTCTTTCCGGCTGGATCTACACTGACCTATATCCCAGGATATGATCCCAGATTATCTTCTTATCCCATATTATCTGGCAGTGTAGATTCATATAATCCAAAGCAGATAATTTGGGATTAGATCCTGGGCTATAGGCCAGTGTAGATCCAGCCTTAGTAAAAGGTTTTTAATAGTGTGCTATACTATTCGCATTCCTTCATTTAAGGGATATATTTTAATTCCCTTTACTTACATGTATAATTTAATATATTTTTAGATATTATATATATGTGTGTGTGTGTGTTTTGATTTCCATATTCTAAAAAAACACAACAGCCAACTGCCAGTAGGTCCATTTTGTTACTGGCTGCTGATAAGTTGCCAAGCTAAATTCAAGGTGCAGGTAAAAGCCCTAAACGGTTTGGGCCCAGCCTATCTTCGCGATCACATCTCCCTCTATGAACCGGCATGAACTTTGAGATCTTCCACAAGCACGGTTGGTGGGGACAAGAGAGAGGGCCTTCTCGGTGGTGGCCCCCTGCCTCTGGAATGCCCTTCTAAGGGAAATAAGACAGGCTCCATCCCTCCCCTCCTTTCGTAAGAGCCTGAAGACCTGGTGGTTTAAACAAACCTTTGAGAATGACTAGTTCTAGCTTAGCCCCAGATACTGTTGAAATTGGCCAAAGATAAGACTGAGAGGAGATATGATAGCAATGTATAAATATGTGAGAGGAAGCCACAGGGAGGAGGGAGCAAGCTTGTTTTCTACTTCCTTGGAGACGCGGAACAATGGCTTCAAACTACAAGAGAGGAGATTCCATCTGAACATGAGGAAGAACTTCCTGACTGTGAGAGCTGTTCAGCAGTGGAACTCTCTGCCCCGGAGTGTGGTGGAGGCTCCTTCTTTGGAAGCTTTTAAACAGAGGCTGGATGGCCATCTGTCAGGGATGATTTGAATGCAATATTCCTGCTTCTTGGCAGGGGGTTGGACTGGATGGCCCATGAGGTCTCTTCCAACTCTTTGATTCTATGATTCTATGATTCTATGATATCTTTTTCTACCAATTACCCAGGTCAGTTTCCTCTATTAGACCCTGGAAATGTACAGCCATAGACTCTACCTAATTTCCCGGACCCTCTAAAATCGCACTAGCCTCGGCCCGGCCTTTTAAATTGCCTTGAACAGGCAGGATTATTTTAAATATATATGTGCTATTGTGGTTTTTAATGCTTATATTGTCTTGTTAATTTTATGTTTATGTTGTTCTCTTTGTATGTATTGATTATGTTACTTGGAAACCGCTCTGAGTCCCCTTGGGGAGATAGAGCAGTATATAAATAAAGTTTTGTTGTTGTTGTTCATGAGAAATGGGAGTGACTCTCTCTCTCTCTAATCTCAATCAGGTCTAAAAACGATTGTGGGTGCCTTGATCCAGTCTGTGAAGAAGCTCTCCGATGTCATGATCCTCACAGTCTTCTGCTTGGCTGTCTTTGCACTCATCGGCTTGCAACTGTTCATGGGGAACCTGCGACAGAAATGTGTCCGGTGGCCACCATTCACAAATGACACCCTCGAAGGAGATTTCTTTGGGCTAGAAAGTGATTCCTTTGGAAACTCTACTCTTTATGACAATGACACTCTTAGTAGCAATTTCACCTTTGACTGGGATGAGTATATCCACAATGAAGGTAGGGCCACCAAGAATACCCTCTTAAGGCTCTTCCTCCTCTTTTATATGTCTTATACTTTTCCTTCCTTTCTTCTTTTCAAACATACACACCCACCAACTTTCCATTGCATACCCTGGATTTCAGTTAATACCTACAGTTTTAAAGTAGAAGATAACATCAATGCCCCCCCCCCCCCCGTTTGTATTCCAACCAGATCTTTTACAACAGGGGTCCTCAAACGTTTTAAACAGAGGGCCAGGTCACAGTCCCTCAAACTGTTTATTTATTTATTTATTATTCAAACTTATATGCCGTCACTCCCCTGGGGCTCGGAGCGGCTTACAAGAACAGGCTAAAATCTAACACAATTTAAAAACAATTTAAAACAATTTAAAAACAATTTTAAAACAACAATATCAAGATCAAAGGCCTGTCGAAACAGATATGTCTTACATGCCCTGCGGAAAGCTGATAGGTCCCGCAAGGCACGGACTTCAGGTGGCAGAGTATTCCAGAGTGATGGTGCCACTGCTGTGAAGGCTCTGCGTCTGGTTGCTGTTAGACGCAAGGTCTTGACACTGGGAATTTCCAAGAGATCTTGGTCCTCAGAACGGAGGGATCTCTGGGGTTGGTAGGGGGTGAGGCGGTCCCTCAGGTACATCGGCCCCAGACCATGCAAGGCCTTAAAGGTAAGTACCATCACTTTGAAAGTGATTCGGTGCTCAATTGGTACCCAATGCAGCTGTAGTAAGATTGGTGTAATGTGGTATCTCATCGGAATTCCCGCAAGAAGCCAAGCAGCTGCATTTTGTACCAACTTGAGCTTTCGGATCACCGACAGAGGAAGGCCAATGTAGAGGGCGTTACAGTAGTCCAGTCTTGAGATGACCGTGGCCTGGATTACCATAGCTAGGTCATCCCTGGACAAGTAGGGAGCCAGCCGTTTAGCCTGCCGCAGATGAAAAAAGGCGGTTCTGCTAACGGCGGAGACCTGGGCCTCCATTATCAGCAGAGGGTCCAAAAGGACTCCCAGACTCTTTACCAATGATGGCGGGCGTAGCGCCTCACCATCCAGGGTAGGCAACTGGATATCCCCACTGCCCGGTTGACCCAGCCATAGGATTCACCCTCAACCTGCTGGCACACAGCCATCCAGTAACGGCCTCGAGGCACTGATGGAAATAATCGGGTACAGAGTCCGGTCTGCCCTCCATCTTCAGCACCAGCTGAGTGTCATCAGCGTACTGGTAACACTCAAGCCCAAAACGTCGAACCAGCTGAGCAAGTGGTCGCATATAAATGTTAAACAACAGAGGGGAGAGAATGGCCCCCTGACGAACCCCACAACATAGAGGGGACCTCTTAGAGACCAGGCCTCCCCTCTCCACTCGCTGTCCATGGTTGTGAAGAAAGGAGGACAGCCAATTTAAAGCTGTCCCCCTGACTCCAACAGCAGCAAGGCGATGGGTCAAAAGATTGTGGTAGACTGTGTCAAATGCTGCTGTGAGATCAAATAACACAAGCAGCGCCGACCCGCCCTGGTCAAGCGATCCGTGATGGAGATCAGCACAGTCTCTGTCCCGTGCCCTGCACAGAAGCCAGATTATATATTTTTTTAAAAATGAATGAATTCCTATGCACACTGCACATCTTATTTGGAGTGCAAAAAACACTTAAAAACAATGTAATGATTAAAATGAAGAACAATTTTAACAAATATAAATTTATTAGTATTTCAATGGGAAGTGTGGGCCTGCTTTTGGCTGATGAGATAGGATTGTTGTTGTTGTTGTTGTTGTGTGCTTTCAAGTCATTTCAGACTTAGGTTGACCCTGAGCGAGGGCCGGGTAAATGACCTTGGAGGGCCGTATCCGGCCCCCGGGCCATAGTTTGAGGACTCCTGTTTTACAGTTATATGCTTCCTCCAAAGAGCTTTCATTCCGAAACATAGTCAATAGAGTTCAGTTGTGATACACAAACACATACAAGCAATCATTGGAAATTCATAAGAGATGCGAATTTATCCAAGGCTACCCAATTATCTCTGTGAGACAGGAGATATTTTAATCTAGGGGTAAATCTACACTGTAGAAGGTGATTTGACAACTTTTTAACTGCATGGCTCAATGCTATGGAATCCTGGGATCAGAAGTTTGGTGAGGCACCAAAGAAAGCTAGTGAGTTTCTAAAATTACAACTTCATAATTTCATAATATTGAAATGAGGCAGATAAAGTGTGTCAAACTGCATTAATGCTACAATGTATATGCATCCTAGATCTGACTGGAAAATGGTATCCCAGCCAGTAGTGGTGGTCCACGCTCTGGTTACATCCTGTATAGCAGTGTTTCTCAACCTTGGGGTCGGGACCCCTGGGGGGGTCGCGAGAGGGTGTCCGAGGGGTYGCCGAAGACCATCAGAAAACACAGTATTTTCTCTTGTTCATCTGGGTTACGTGTGGAAAGTTAGGTCCAATTCTATTGTTGGTGGGGTTCAGAATGCTCTTTGATTGTAGGTGAACTATAAATCTCAGCAACTACAACTCCCAAATGCCAAGGTCTATTTTCCCCAAACTCCACTAGTGTTCACATTTGGGCATATTGAGCATTTGTGCCAAATTTGATYCTGATCCATCATTGTTTGAGTCCACAGATGTAGATGAACTACAACTCCCAAACTCAAGATCCATGCCTACCAAACCCTGCTAGTGTTTTCTGATGTTCATGGGAGTCCTGTGTGCCAAGATTGGTTCAGTTCCATCATTGGTGGAGGTTCAGAATGCTCTTTGATTGTAGATGAACTATAAATCCCAGCAAGTACAACTCTCAAATGATAAAACCAGTCCCTCCCACCAACCTCACTAGTATTAAAATTTGGGCATATTGGGTATTTGTGCCAAATTTGGTCCAGTGAATGAAAATACATCCTGCATATCAGATATTTACATTGCGATTCATAACAGTAGCAAAATTACATTTATGAAGTAACAATGAAAATAATTTCATTGGGGGGGGGGTGGTCACCACAACATGAGGAACTGTATTAAGGGGTTGCGGCATTAGGAAGGTTGAGAACCACTGCTGTATAGACTACTGCAATGCTCTCTATGTGGGGTTGCCTTTGAAGACTGTCCGGAAGCTTCAAATGGCCCAACAGTTGGCAGCCAGGTTACTAAAGGGAGCAGCACTCAGGGAGCATACAACTCCTCTGTTGCACCAGCTCTCCTGGTTGCCAGATTGCTACCGGGCACAATTCAAAGTGCTGGCTTTAGCCTATAAAGCCCTAAACGGTTCTGGCCCAATTTACCTGTCCGAATGCATCTCCTCCTATGAACCAGCTAGGGTGTTAAGATTGTCTGGGGAGGCCCTGCTCTCGGTCCCGCCTGCGTCACAAGTACGTTTGGCGGGGACGAGAGACAGGGCCTTCTCAGTGGTGGACCCTCGGCTGTGGAATGCCTTTCCTATAGATATTAGATCAGCCCCCTCCCTGTTGACATTTGGGAGGAAAGTGAAGACCTGGTTGTTTGAGCAGGCATTTGAATAGGCAGTGTAACAAGCATAGGAATATGGAACAATTGGATGATGACCCTGGATCTTGATTTTAACTATGAGACGCTAATGAGATGTTTTATTGATTTATATTGACTGTTTATTATGCTACTGTTTTATTATGTTTTTGAGCATTGAATTTTGCTATTGTTAACCGCTCTGAGTCGCCCCAGGGCTGAGAAGAGCGGTATACAAATATAGTAAATAAATAAATAATAGTCATTGCATCATCCAACTTCTGATTAACTATCCAGGTTGTTGTGCAGCAAGCAAATTCTATTCAACGTCCCAAGTCCAAATGCAAAAGACTCACAGACAAGAGTAAAAATGAACAGAAAAATCTTTACTCTTAATAGCAGAGATGAAACATAAACTTGCAATGTTGCATACAAAAAACAAACAGTGCAAAAAACTTACATAGTCTTTGTAAGTAACACAAAATAAGGAATCTTCATCTTAAGTCAAATGAGAAAGCAAAACATAAATCTTGAGTAAATGGCTATTCCACCATAGCCTTCTCTAGAGCAGCATAATTTATTTATTATTTATTTAGCAATTTTGTATACCGGTCTTCTCCCCTCTATCGGGGGACTTGGGCCGGTATCCAACAATATATCACAAAACAATCATTAAAAACGCCATATAACATATTCAATTACATATTCATATAACATATTCATATAACATTAAAACAGCAAAATGCAATCACATAATAACAATGGTCAGTCGTCATAGTGAATTCGTTGTCCGTCATTCATCGTCATCCATCCGATCACAGAAATATTGATTCACTCGTCGAAAGCCAAACCCCATAGCCAGGTTTTCACCCGTTTTCTGAAGACAGAATGGAGGGGGCAGTTCTGATCTCCAGTGGGAGAGAGTTCCAGAGTCGAGGGGCCACCACCGAGAAGGCCCTGTCCCTCATCCCCACCAGACGCACTTGAGAGGCCGGTGGGACCAAGAGCAGGGCCCATCCAGACGATCTTAACAACCTAGATGGTTCATAGGGGAGAATACGTTCGGACAGGAAAACTGGGCCGGAGTTGTTTAGGGCTTTATAGGTTAACACTTTGAATTGTGCTCGGAAGCTAATTGGCAGCCAGTGGAGCTGGCGCAACAGAGGAGTAGTATCTCCCTGTACCCTGCTTGTGTTAGCATTCTGGCTGCCGCACGTTGGACTAGTTGGAGCTTCCGGGCAGTCTTCATAGGCAACCCCACATAGAGAGCGTTGCAGTAATCTAAACAGGATGTAACCATAACAGCTTCTCTCCAAACTGCTCCCCAGAACAGAGCCTTTTAGCATAATGTCCTCAGAGAAAAGGCTCTCCACCCCCACCCCCCATATTCTAAAAAACCCATACAAAACCCATCTAAAAAAACCCATCGGGTGTGATCCAAGCTTGCTGGTTGGTTGACCTACATTACCGGCTGCACATAATAATTACCATCATAAAGGTTTTCTTCAACACACACACACACACACGGTACTGCTACAACTTACTGTAACACAGGTTGTTATCTTTCTTTGAACAGACATGGAGTGCATTATAATTACATGCATTTTTATTTATAAACATGTTTAAAAGTCGATTCACAACTGTTTTAAAGTTCAAATTTGGACGTTCTCATTTTTCTCTCTCTTTTGTTTTCTTATTTTTTTTTACTTGTAAAGAGAACTTCTATTTCCTTGATGGTGCACTTGACGCTCTGCTCTGTGGGAACAGCTCTGATGCTGGGTGAGTTAGGTCTGTCCCAATCATCAGGCCTCTTTGGAGTGGGAAAGAGGGTCATGATGGGGAGGAAACATGGCCCCTCAGGGCTCTCTGAGTTTGTATCAGGAAGAAAATGCTAACACTGTGTAACAACATTTGAAAAAAAATTCTGTTCCTGGTTCAAAAGTGTTGTTTTCTGTTTAATTGTATGGTACTAGCTGTCCCCTGCCACACGTTGCTGTGGCCCAGTCTGTTGATCTGGAAAATAAAGTAATGAGGAATTGTTGGTTTCTAATATATGTAATGTCTTTCTGCTTGTGGGTAAACAGTATTTCATGCTGTTTCTTTGTCAGTGTTGATGTAGAGATTGTCTGGTTTGCCCACCCTGGAACATGCAACATATCATTGTCCTTCTTTAGGGGTCCCTTTCAAATCTAAGATACTATCTCTTTGTGTGTGTGAATCACATATATCTACCAATATCTATGGCTGGATGGCTCTTTGTCAGGAGGACTTTGAATACGTTTTCTTGCCCTGGTGAAGGGAGTTGGACTGGATGGCCTTAAGTATTTTCTGTTGGTCATGGGGGTTCTGTGTGGGAAGTTTGCCCCGATTCTGTCATTTGTGGGGTTCAGAATGCTCTTTGATTGTAGGTGAACTATAAATCCCAGTAACTACAACTCCCAGATGTCAAGGTCTATTTCCCCTAAACTTCATCTGTGTTCATATTTGGCCATATTGAGTGCTTGTGCAAAGTTTGGTCCAGCTCCATCATTGTTTGAGTCCACAGTGCTCTCTGGATGTAGGTGAACTACAACTCCCAAACTCAAGTTCAATGCCCACCAAACTCTTCCAGTATTTTCTTCTGGTCATGGGAGTTCTGTGTGCCAAGTTTGGTTCAATTCCATCGTTGGTGGAGTTCAGAATGCTCTTTGATTGTAGGTGAACTATAAATCCCAGCAACTACAACTCCCAAATGACAAAATCATGATTTTTTGAGTGATGGTCACTCCTTGTGTTGTGAGACATTTTGTTGCCAAATTTGGTGTGATTTCGTTCATTGGTTCTTTTGTTTTTAAGGAACTCATTATGCAGAGAGCATTTTTATATATATATATATATATATATATATATATATATATATATATAAATTTGAAAATAGCTGTTATACTCCAGAAACTTTGTTTTTGTGGCTGACACAAACTATGTTGATTTAGTTGAGACTTATTGAAAAGGATAGTAAAATGTGCTGCAGGATGTCCCACAAAGTTTTTGCAGTTTAATAAACTTTCTCCATGTTTTTATGATAGAACCAATTAGGAAACACCATTTATAACCCAGGAACAAAAACCATGTTACATAGTGCAATTGTGCAGGGAGGGTGAAACAGATTTCTCATACTTCTATATCAGGGGTCCTCAAACTTTTTAAACCGGGGGCCAGTTCACTGTCCCTCAGACCGTTGGAGGGCCGGACTATAGGTTTTTTTTTAAAAAAAATCAATTAAAAATTCCTATGCACATTGCACATATCTTATTTTGCTGTGTGGAAGGGCCCTTAGAGGGGGTTCTTTCTAGCCCTCTTTAGGCAGTAATTCCAGGAGCAGAGAATGGGAAATCTTCCTATTTCTAGTCTGAACAAAATCTGGCTACCAGTATTAAAAAAACTCTAAAATTATAACTGTAAATAAAGAACAACACTCAAACACAGGGGAACTCCAGACAAGAAACAATCAGGGCCAGCTAATCACCTCTCAACAAAGGATTCTCCCTAAAAACTGTCAGGCTATGAAATGGTAATCAAGGTGGCCAATTGAAACATTCATACCTACCCCCAACAGACAAGAGTTCTTTCTCCCACCCTGGATCTTCCACAATTTTCCTAGTTAAAAGTCCAGTCATGTCTGACTCTGGGGTGTGGTGCTCATCTCCATTTCTAAGCCGAAGAGCCGGCGTTGTCCATAGACACCTCCAAGGTCATGTGGCCAACATGACTGCATGGAGCGCCGTTACCTTCCCGCTGGAGCAGTACCTGCCCATCAGGCCTGACGGATAGCATGAGCCTGCCAAGGGAGGAGCAGCCCCGCGCGGCCTACTCGCGCGTACAGCACCTCGTGAGGTGCTGTACACGCGAGTAGGCCATGCGGAGCAGCTGCCCTTGGCTGGCTAACGCTGCCCATTGGGCCAGACAGATAGTGTGAGCCAGCCAAGGGAGGGGCACTGTGTGTGGGGGGGGGGCGCTCCTCCTCGCGGGCCAGATAAGTGCCCTTGGCGGGCCGGAAGTGGCCCGCGGGCCATAGTTTGAGGACCCTTGTTCTATATGAATCACGCCAAAGGCAAAACCCAGATCTAATTGAGAATAATTGGGTATTGGAACTGCTGTGGAAAACTACAGGTATTATCACAATTCTTAAATTTGGCAACAACTTTATAACGATGAGCCATACATACTTTTGTGGAAGTGGTGGTAGAAACGTTCTGTGGCGGTGGGGTGGAGGTTGTTTTGGACTTAAGTGCTTCTTTTGACCATGATGTTATGCTGACACCCTCTTTTCCTTTTTCCTGTCTACTTTAGAAAATGTCCAGAAGGGTATCAATGCATGAAAGCTGGCCGGAACCCAAACTATGGCTATACAAGCTATGACACCTTCAGTTGGGCTTTTCTTGCTCTCTTCCGCCTGATGACCCAGGACTATTGGGAAAACTTATTCCAACTGGTAGGCTAAGGTTAATTTATTGTTCTTTATTCTGGGGAGCCTTGGAATTCCATGAAATCCCATCAAATTCCTCAATGGAAAGATCAGTAATAGCACGTTCCTAAGAGACACTTTGGTTACAATTCCACTATAGCCAGAAATTTTCAGAGAGTTTTAAGTATGTTCTGGAGTATTTTATTTATTTATTTATCGTGTCAGGAGCAACCAGACATTTGTATTGCATTTTTAACAAAACAAACAGACAAAACACAAAGTTTGCAAGCTTGGTAGTTGATTAAATGTCCTTTGACCAATATCTGGCCACTTGGAGTGCCTCTGGTGTTGCTGCAAGGAGGTCCGCCATTGTGCATGTAGCAGGGCTCAGGTTGCATTGCAGCAGGTGGTCTGTAGTTTGCTCTTCTCCACACTCACATGTCATGGATTCCACTTTGTAGCCCCATTTCTTAAAGTTGGCTCTGCATCTCGTGGTGCCAGAACGCAGTCTGTTCAGCACCTTCCAAGTCGCCCAGTCTTCTGTGTGCCCAGGAGGGAGTCTCTCATTTGGTATCAGCCATTGATTGAGGTTCTGGGTTTGAGCCTGCCACTTTTGGACTCTCGCTTGCTGAGGTGTTCCAGCGAGTGTCTCTGTAGATCTTAGAAAACTATTTCTTGATTTAAGTCATTGACATGCTGGCTGATACCCAAACAGGGGATGAGCTGGAGATGTCACTGCCTTGGTCCTTTCACTATTGGCTGCTACTTTCCGGCGGATGTCAGGTGGTGCAATACCAACTAAACAGTGTAATTTCTACACTGTTGTGGTGTAGGGCGTAGACATCCCGTGATGATGTGGCATGTCTCATTAAGAGCAACATCCACTGTTTTAGGGTAGTGAGATGTGTTCCACACTGGGCATGCATACTCAGCAGCAGAGTAGCATAACGCAAGGGCAGATGTCTTCACTGCGTCTGGTTGTGATCCCCAGGTTGTGCCAGCCAGCTTTCATATGATATTGTTTCTAGCTCCCATTTTTTGCTTGATATTCAGGCAGTGCTTCTTGAGGGTCAGAGAACAGTCCAGAGTGACTCCCAGGTATTTGGGTGCGCTGCAATGCTCCAGTGGGATTCCTTCCCAGGTAATCCTCAGAGCTTGGGATGTTTGTCTGTTCTTAAGGTGAAAAGCACATGTCTGTGTTTTAGATGGATTAGGGGTCAGCTGGTTTTCCCTGTAATATGCTGTGAGAGCACCTAGAGCTTCAGATAGCTTCTGTTCAACCATCTCAAAGCTCCCTGTTCTGGAGAGTCATATGCATATTGAAACCTCTACTAGACCAGTGAAACCTTTGTCTGTGTTACTAGCATCACAGTTGAACACAGAAATGCAGTTTAGACATCCAAAGAAAAGTGCCAGACACATTTTCCATGAGAATGAAAAGCAGCACATCGAAGAGATCTTGTTGTGAATAATGTTAAGTATCATACTGAATTATGACTGCTAGAAATTTGAGGGCTGAATGAGAATTGCATTTGAAGGGGCAGAATTCTTACTAGTGGCAGTGCCTTCATTTAGCAACCCTTTGACATCCTTTGAGCTCTATGTTTTTCATCACCTACAATTTCAAATTTTGAAATTTGAAACACTGTTGAACACCAAGCACAAAGTAGCTGCACGCAATAACATCCTGCAAAAACTTACTGGCAGGACATGGGGTGCAGACCCAAAATTAATAAGAACATCAGCCTTGACCTTGTCTTACTCAACTGCTGAGTATGCCTGCCCTGTTTGGCATAGGTCTGCCCATGCAAAGCAGGTGAAAATAGTCATTGAATGAAACATGCAGAATAATCACAGGATGTCTTAAACCTACACCTGTTGATAAACTCTACAAGCTAGCTGGCCTTGCCCCCCCCCCCCCCCGATGTGCGATAGGAAGTTGCTGCTCAATGTGAGAGAAATAAGGTTGAACACTGTGAAAGCCATCCACTGCATGGCTACCAGCCTCCTCCCAGTAGACTCAAATCAAGGAAAAGCTTCATAAGAACTACCACTCCTCTTGGCGTCCCTCCAGCAACAGCAAGGGTATCCTTCTGGGCAGCTAAACCAGGAAATCCCAACTGGATGACCCCCTGCGAGGGCCTTCCTCCAGGGACAAACCAAGAATGGGCAACCTGGAAGTCTCTGAACAGACTCAGAAGTGGAGTGGGCAGATCAAAAGACAACCTGGCAAAATGGCACTACCTAAAAGAGTCGCATATCTTGTGTGACTGTGTAGCAGAACAGACAACTCCGCATCTGTATGCTTGTCCATTGTGCCCTGCCTCATGTACAGAGGAGGAATTGTTGGCGGCTACAGACAATGCCATTGCTGTTGCCCGCTTTTGGTCAAAAGATATTTAGCTGCCTGCCCTCCTTCTATTTTTATCAATTTTATACTTATTTATGCAATACTTTTGATACGAAATAAATAAATAAATCACCTACAATTATATGAAATGAAATGCTTAGAAATGAGTTTGTTCAAATTGTTGTTGTTTTTTTAACCCCTAACTACCCACTTGCGAAATGATCTTACTTTGGTGATTAAGATTTCCAGGTTGATGGGCTAACAGGAAACTTTTCATCCCATAGACTCTGCGAGCAGCTGGGAAAACATACATGATCTTTTTCGTCTTGGTCATATTCTTGGGCTCTTTCTACCTCATTAACCTGATCCTGGCTGTGGTAGCAATGGCCTATGCTGAACAAAATGAGCAAACCATGCTGGAGGAACAAGAGAAAGAAGCCGAATTCCAGCAGATGATGGAACAGCTGAAAAAGCATCAGGAAGAACAGGAAAGGCTGGTTGGTATTTGTATTTGTGTGCATACATGCATGTGTGTATGTGTTCCCTTTCTACCTTACCCAGTTGCTCCAAATGTACTGATCCTGTTCTCTTTTGCTCAGGAGCCAATATTCACAGTTTGAATGTTACTTCCCGTGTAATCACAGCATCAAGTTTATTTCCCCCTTACAACATTTACATTTAAAACATACAAATGGTAATTGTTTTCATGCAGGACCAAAACGAAAGCAATTCTTATTTGACTAAACACAATTGAACTGCACATTTTTGAAAGTTTCTTTTGTAACCAGACTAACTAGAGTATTTCGGGAACTGTATTCCAACAGGACAGCTTTTCTAACTTTTCTATTTTTTTCCTGTAATAGAAGTTGCAGGGAACCATGAGTAGCTAATAGGCTTGTTTGACCCCCCCCCCCCCAAAAAAAAAAGGTTCAAAACTCATTTATGATGTAGGGAGCGCTGGTGGTTCAATTCAAAAGTCAATTCCGATTTTCACAGAAAAAAAATGTTCAAAACTTTTTGAAACTTCCGAGACTTCTGAATCCTTCCTTAATGGTTTGAAAGTGATATTTCCTGTATCATTGGGTGGTCTTTACTTTGAAAGTAATTCTTTTACTCCAGAAGCGTGGGGGGAGGGGGAGCAAAGGGAGGAAATTCATCCACTCTGATTTAAAATGGCTTCCCAGGCTTGAGACAGAAGGGCAGGGGGAGAGGAAAGGGAGGAAATTCATCCACTCTGGTTTAAAACGGCTTCCCAGGCTTGAGACAGAAGTGAGGAGAAGGGAAAGGGAGGAAATTCATCCACTCTGGTTTAAAACGGCTTCCCGGGCTTGAAACAGAAGTGAGGAGAAGGGAAAGGGAGGAAATTCATCCACTCTGGTTTAAAATAGCTTCCCAGGCTTGAGACAAAAGCGGGGGGAAGGGAAAGGGAGGAAATTCATCCGCTCTGGTTTAAAATGGCTTCCCAGGCTTCACAGAAGCGCGGGGAAAGGAAAGGGAGGAAATTCATCCACTCTGGTTTAAAACGGCTTCTCTGGCTTGAACCAAGGTCAGGAACCAGAAGCAGGGAAAAGCTGAATCATTTCCGACTCACTTACTGCTTCATAACAGAAATGGTGGAAAAGGCTTCAGAAGGGCAAAGGGACTTCCGGTTTCCTTAAAAACTTCAAAATCACTTCAAAAAGCAAACCTTTCCAAATTTATTCCGAATTATGAAGATTCCGACTGAACCTAACCATGCCTAGTAGCTAACTGTTCCCCCCACAGCCATGATCCCAGCAAAAATTACCTTGCTAAAGCTTCAGTTTGTTTCTATGGCAAATCTCTGCAAACTTCTCTTAAAATGCAGAAGGCAGCTGTAGAAAGTTAAGCCCGAAAAATCTACAACAACCCTTTGATATGATAGATAGTTTCTCCACATACTCCCCAGTCCTGAGATTGCTCAGGCTTCTCCATATATTCTAATTAAACATAAATTCAAACAGGCACATATATTGCACCTACGCAATTAATGTCATGTTTGGCTTGCTCATCAATTAATGTCAGGAGCACATAGACAAGGTAGTATTCCAACAAGACATCGACAGTCCCCAAAAAAACTCTTTCTCTCCAAAACCTACTTTCCAGTTCTATGAACCAACTTAAAACTCTTCACATTTTAGGTTTCTTGGCATGTATTCTTTTTGTTCTGATCAAAGCTCACAGTAGTAAAACAGGCAAAGCTGACCCTTTTGTGTGTAGACAACGAATGTTTATACAAGATCCTTGTAATTGAAAGACTCATAACTTTTATTGATTAAAGCAACCTTGTGTTTAAGCACTGAAGTCATGGGCAAGCAGTCATTGCACGCTGCCAGAGAAGAAACGTGAAGCACCCCATCATCCCTCCTTGGAACACAGTGTAAAAGCTTAGTGGAAGTTGTTGGACTTCTCGTGCCTGGCCAAGCCAATGGTCAGCAGTGATGGAAATTGTGTTCAACAAAAAAGTGTATCCACTGAAGCTTTATCACCAATTCTCGTTCCCACAACAACCCCAAATTTTCAAAATCCAGTGGTCACTGGGGCATTAAGTGAGGTGAAATCTTCTGAACAGTGACACAGACAGCAAAACAAATATTACACTGGTGTCGACTCTTCCCTATGCTATCTAAAACTTTAAAAAACCTATATTTTTGTCTGTAGTTTAATTTTAAAAAATCTACCTGTTCCGACTTACATACAAATACAACTTAAGAACAAACCTACAGACCCTGCCTTGTTCATAACCTGGGTGCTGCTTCTACACTGCTTGTGCACTATTCCAAGCTGCTAGCATGGGGTGGGAGCATTTTTAAGGAACACAGCGGTGCTGCCTTCCAGTCCTCAACATGAAGCTGTGAGCCAGCAGATTGCTTCTCCATTCCTGAGCCGTGACGCAGCTCTCTGCCTTCTATACTTGTTTACTGAAAGCAGAAATATATCTGTCAGCAAGACTTGACTCTCACTTCCTGGAGCTACTTAAATTGAATGGATATAGAAATAGTATTTTGTACTGTCAGTCCTTCTGAAGAAACAAAACACTTTTAGTATGAAAGTTCAGGAGAAAGAGACAGAGAAAACACTCTTACAAACAGAATAAAGCAATAGAGCCTGTTAAATATCTCCAGTTGCAGGCCAATATGTGGACAACATCCCATGAGAGACATCCCATGAGAAACTACATCCCACAAAAGACTCCAAAAAGATTCAGTTCACTCGCCACCTCTCTAATATTTATTTAAGACTGGCTCACAACAAAGGTTGTAATATATAACTTTACAGGCAGGTCAGCCCCACAGCACTCTCTATCCCAAGAGCTACTGAAAAGGCAAGAAGAAGACCTAAAGTGGACCTCCATGAATCTCAGCACTGGAGGAAATACAGATATGTAAGGATGGGAGTCGTTGGCTTGGACTATGGACGGGGCTAATAATAATCACCTTTTTCACTATACAATACCAAGGAAGAGAAGAACTTGTTGGGTGGAAGCCTGTATGAAGAAAACAAAGACCTCCCCAGAACAAAGATTGGAAATCATGGGGAAGTATGGGGAGAGGAGGAATCATGACAAAAAGGGAATCCACAACCACACAGCAGAGTTTATTAACATACTATATAGTGCATAATGCTGAAGACCAGAGGTTGTGAGTGTAAGATCAACTGTGGAGAACAGGAGGAAGATGAAGGAGTTGTAATAAAACACTGCAAGGCCGAATAGTCCTGTCCCATCTGATCAACTGTGCCTTCTAAATCAGGGGTCCTCAAACTAAGGCCCGGGGGCTGGATATGGCCCTCCAAGGTCATTTACCTGGTCCTCGCTCAATAGTCAACCTAAGTCTGAAACGACTTGAAAGCACACAACAACAACAACAACAACAACAATCCTATCTCATCAGCCAAAAGCAGGTCCACACTTCCCACTGAAATACTAACCAGTTTATATTTGTTAAAAATTGTTCTTCATTTTAATTATTGTATTGTTTTAAGTGTTTTTTGCACTACAAATTAGGATATGTGCAATGTGCATAGGAATTCATTCATGTTTTTTTCAAATTATAATCCGGACCTCCAATAGTTTGAGGGACTGTGACCTGGCTCTCTGTTTAAAATGTTTGAGGACCCCTGTTCTAAATACTCCATTCGACTTCCCTTCTTTTTTCTTTAGCAATTTGTGCCTGCTGAATCTTCATTGGGCTATTAGTTTGTTTGGTTCTCTCAATAGTCCACTTAGTGGCTAATATTTGAGATTTGGCTAAAATATGTGACAAACTTGTAGTTGAAAAGCATGTGAATAAGGACCTCATCACATTGAGGTCCTTGATGCAGGAGATAGCAGAGGACCCGTAGGGCACCGGCCAAATCTTGGGTCAGCAGGCCAAATCTGTTTCCCAGTGCCCTACATTACCTGCACCACCCATTTGCCCATCATACAGGAAAGTGTACCTTTCTGCCGTACTCCCACTTTGTGCCCATCATTCCCAGTCTGAACATGGATAGTATCCCATATTAAAATTTCCTTCTCTTACCACACTTTGCTGGTGCAGCTGGCACAGAGCCCCGTCGGAAGCAGATGTGCTTCATGTGATGAGGGATACGTTGGTGAAATGTAGTAGGACAGGGAATTTCTCTAATGTGATGAGGCCATAAGGTTTTTTCATAGCTATGTCAGCAGAAATTTGACTGAGTTTCCTAACATTCCAATTAAAAGGTCCAAACAGTCCAACAAGACTTCAGCATCTTGGTCAATGCTGATTTATCGATTTGACCAAATCAAGGTCTGCCCACTTCTACAGAAGCGAAAGAAGCAGAACCCCCTTTAATCACAGTTTATTTTATTTTGTTCCTTCTATTCACCTACTTATCTATCTTTGATCACCTTCTTACACAGTTGCTCTTCACTCGGTACAGTCATATCTTTTGAGCCGTAGCAATCTTTCTGGTTTGTTTGGATTTTTACATATGTGTCAAGCCTTGTGCTTTCCTTACCAGGTTACACAGCATCTCTGCCACTGTCTCCATGACCTGCTCACATTGCCCTTGGTCAGCCCCTCTTCCTTTTTCCTTCCATTTTCCCCAGCATAATTGTCTTCTCTAAGCTTTCCTGTCTTCTCATTATGTGGACAAAATACTTCATCTTTGCTTCTATGGGGCTGGAGGTTTAGCACAGTTGGTAAATCGTCAGCAATTGTAAGATCTATCAACCAAAAGGTTGCAAGTTCGAACCCCGGGTTTGGTGTGAGCTGCCAAATGTCACCCTAGCTCATTGTTTACCTAAGCAATTTGAAAACAGCTTTAGCTGTAATTAGAGAAATTAGGTCCAACTATGACACCATAAAGAGAGAAGATCAGAAAATACTGGGCAACCAAAAGGAAGGAGGAAGTCCTGATGGCTCTTCATCATAGAGGGCTCAAGCCCAACCATGCATGGCATCAAAAACAGCTGGACACTGAATCGAAACAAACCACCTTCTTCTTCTGTTGT